GGTGCATCAGCAGAACGGGACCGGCAGGAAGACGTGCGCCAGCGTTGCCACATCCACAGGCGAGCGCTGTCGCTGCCTGTGTGGCAGCTGCGTGCCGTCGCTCGCGCCGCGCCGCGCGCCCCACCCCCGCCCACCCCGCGCACCGTGATCTTGGCGATTGTCTGGTATGTGGTGGCGCTGAGGACCTGTATGAAGTCCTCCCCCCTGATGCTGACCCACACCTCGGTGCCGGCCTTGTTGTAGAAGGCCTCGTGGGGGGCGCGCCCCACATAGGTGGTGGCCTTGACCCTGTTGGTGGCCGTGTCTGCGGCGGGGCCGGATTCGAGGGCGGCGGCGGCGAGGGTGTGGCTGAGCAGGGCCGGGCGGCAGGGGGCCTCTGCCGGCGCGGCGGGTCGGGCCGGCACTGCGCTGCGGGGGCGAGAGCCTCCCAGATGTTTCAAGGTTCGCACCTACCTATGAAGATGACCGAATTGCTGGCCACGGCGACGGCGACGACGGTCCTGCCGTCTGGTGAGTACCCGATGCCGTGGACCAGGGAATTGGCGATATATGTGGCGCCCAGCGTCGCCGGCAGGATGCCGCCCAGGGTGATGACGCCCAGGAGCTTCCCGGCCGCGGGGTCAATGACTGACAGGGTATTGCTGGTCTGGCAGGTCGCGTAGACGCGGTCGCGGCCAGAGATGGGCACGTCGCGCGCCGATGCCGCCAGCGGCGCCTGGCCGGCAGCAGCGGGGCGCACGCAGGCGGCAAGCGCGGCCGCGGCGGCGAGGGCCAGCAGCAGGTGGGCGCGCGGCGCGTGCTTGGCCATTGGTCGGCTGAATGGGCGCATGCGGACCGTCGGTCCTGGGGTAAAACGGTACGCAGTGGCTGGCTGTGGGGGCACTCTGCTCCCAGTGGCTGGCCTGGACACGGTCGCGCTGAGTATGAAGCGATGCGCACGGCTATTTTTCGATCAACTGCGTATTGGTTATTGAGTCTGGGGGGTAATACGGGGACCTACACCTCACACAACGAGCATGATCGCCGTGACCAATGCTCAATTGCTCATCTCGCTCATGCAGTGTGACCACCACGAAGTTGCGTCCCAAGCGATATTGAAACCAAGAAAGCCCCCGACGCTCAATAGGGTTATCATCGTTTCGTGTATGAGGCGCCCGCTGCTTGAAGCAAGCCCCATGTTTGGTGTATGGCAGTGTCGCTTTTCCTGTGCGCCCTGGGAAAGTTGCGGCTCCTCGCCATCCACCTGCTGTGCAAGCACGCAGGATCAGCGGCTAGGCACAGGATGTGGCAACGGCTTGCTGTGGCTGCACGCAATGGACAGCCAAAGCTGTCACTTTGTGTGTTGTCCCGAACACGCTGCGCCGGCTGAGACCACCGCCTGCAAACAGTACAAGCATCGTGTTTACAGGTCAGCTTTGCTGATTGTATGATCAAAATACGCACCAGATGCCGGGGCGTGACTACAGTACTATTCAAAACAAGACGCAATAGTTGCAGCGCCATGACCGGTCAACACACATACCGCACAGGTGCACACCCATGCACATACAAAACATGACCACTCAAAAACACAAAAACAGCGCCGCCACTGCAGTCGCGGCGTCGCCCATGGTTAACTGCCTGGTGGCACCTTGAGGCGTCGCCAGGCCAGATCAGCGGGCCTGTCCCATGTGGACTCCCTGGCGCGGGAGTGCGGATGGGAATCACGGATGATGACGAGACCAGGGATAAGAATGTCGAGGGGAGCAGGCATAGAAGATCTCAAGAGGAGGCAGGCCTGCGCACACGCGCCTGGTGTGGACGGTGAACGGAGCCCCGGGAGCGCGGGCGAGGTGCGGGGCACGCCCTGCGAGCGTGCGGCCGAGGCGCATCCCACCGGCCTCGCTGGGACAGGCGGCAGAATGTGTCATACTGCGCGGGTCTCACGGGCCCCCCTTCTGCAATTGCTCACAGAGTCTCTTGATTGTGGAAGTACGGCCGCTGCAGGTCCTCGCTCCAAAACTCGACCCTGTTGAGGGGACAGTTGGCAGTCAAGGGCGGGTAGGGGAGGGGTGAGTTGGGCGCGTGTGGGAGGGGGGCAAGGCTGTGGACGCCTTTGGGAATAAGGAGGACTCCCACATTTTGCCAATGACGGAGAGTGGCCGGCCGCCTCCCTGACTGCTGGGCCTGTTCTCACCGCCCTGCCGATTGCCCCTGGCCTCCCCCTGCCTCTCGCGGCCACCACGCCCTGCGCGTCCCCGGAAAGCTCCCCTGTTCCCGACATACACAGTTGCATGT